TATATATATATAGATAGATAGATATATATATCACGAGTGTCAATGGTATAAACCAACTCTGCACACCATTATATAAATATGCGGGCATGTGGCTACAAAAACTTTCATCTACATTAGTCTATGTGGCGATGTGGCATGTACGAGCAACAATGCAGAATCCGTGCTTGCAATGCAATGCTTTTCAATTTTTCTGAACCAAAATATTCGGTTTATTCTCCAGGTTTCATTAGGATATCAGTACAAATATATTTAAGCACAGTACGTGGTGAAGTAGATATGTACGAGCACTCCATACACTCATCGAGTAATCATGGCAAAAACAATGGAAGTAACACTGCGAAGAAGGGCTATACCAGCACACAGTATATCCATTGGATAGTATGATTGGCTTCGGAGTTTAAACAACGATTATAATCATAATCCTGGAGGAACCGCTATGACTAAGACACTATAAAGATAAATACACGAGTACACAACACACTCTGACATCACTCTCATATGAACGTCAATTGGATTCGAAGATTCCTGAACGAGCCGTAACCTACCTCTTCATCCTTGCTGCGCTTGGGGGGTTTGGGACTGCTATTTTTAATCTTCCGTTTATTCTTGCCACTCATATCGTCAAATCAGTTAGACTAGCTAGCCTATACTACCGAGAAGCTTACAGTATCTCGTGGGTGTGAATATGCGATCGCACTATATATTTACAACTTAAATATTGTGTCGAGTGAAGAGACTTTTGACTGATGACAGTTTACTGTGTCTGAGGTCTCTTGGTTTACTGTATTTATTCATATAGAGGATAGACCTGAGGGGGCTGAGGCTCTGAACTCTAAGCGACTGACCCTCCCTGACGTCTGATCCCTGAGGCCTGAGGCGAGGGTTGAGGGCAACCTGAATTTGGCCTAAACACCTTGGGGAAGCAATGTACATTTGAATTTTGATGACCAAATGTGTTCACGGGAATTTTATTGTAATAACATAGACTTATTGGCCGACCCTAAATATTCAAATTTGGGCAGACACGTCGGTCGCGAATTGCGACACGGTGTCGTCAGGCCCGTTAGGGGCTGCATCAGTGCATTAGTGGATTCATTGCATATCAAATACATACTGTCGTACATGTCGCCGCGACATATTTCATGGGCAGGGCGGGACGGTCGGGCAGTGATATTTTCATATTTACGCACCAAAGAGTATACGTAGAGAGTACATAAATAAATGTCGTCGGATTTTGTAACACCGAATTTTACGTACATAATAGTGGTGCACCCAAGTGGGAGACCTAAAAGACAACTTACTTAAAGTTAAAATAACAAGTGTTACACTGACTACATTCCATACAACTATATCATGTGGGTGCCCGGATTGCATCCTTTGGGTCAATTGTATTTCAAAATAATAATACATAAGTAACCTGACATTCGAATATTAGTCGAGCGATGAATCTGTACAGAATCAAGTTCAAGGAGCGAATCAGGTACATAAACAGTTGCGAACTATCGTCTATTAGTAGTATATAGTGTGTAATTATTTTGCGCTTTTTAATATAGAATAGAGCAATATCTTGAGTGTCTGCTGTACAAGCAATTTCTCATAAGCTATATTGAATGAAACACAAAGTTGAGTCAATTTTTGATACCACCATTTAGCCATTGCGTATACGATTGCTTCTAGCTATCCCTCAACGCGCATTTGTGCAGCAATATAAATCTGTTCAACCAATTAGTCTTTACTATCAATTTACCATTGTTCGCAGACAGGAATTACTGGAATTAGTGACGACTTTCATAGTACTTTTTGCACAACATACAGATATCTTCTGTTGTAGGATACCTTGCTAGTCATAAGAACCTGACAAAATGTTCACTCACTATTTGCCCTGCTAATCCACCCAAAGGACTCAAGCTCGTCGTACACACAATGCACGACATATCTATAGTGGTAGCCACAAATAACGATGGTACGTCGTTCGTACTCTTTATACTTTTGAGAAGTGATTTTGTGTCAAGGACGCACAACTCCCAGGGTCTCGAGGAAAATCCGCACGCTCATGAAAATATCATCTAAACACTTGGTTGTAGATATTGACGCATACTCTAAAGCTAAATATATTGTCATTCTGCATGACCTCTCAAACTTACTAATCGATGCAAGCTGAATAATCTACGTGCACATATTCTCCGATACACGTGTGCATAACCTGTATGCTCGCTTTAGGAGGTGCCTACTAGTAGTCGGAAGCCAATTCAGCTACCCCGAGCGAAATCGTATCTACCACATAACACGCGTGCGGATAGACTCGTCGACTTCCATGACTTTCTGCTTGATTGTCTCGGAAAATTTGCTGTCTACTTGCACCATAAGGTATCCAATGCCGTCCTTTGTGCCAAGTGCCTGGCCACTGACGTTGTAGTCGCCCAGCACATCATTGATTTTCTGAAAAGAACATGTACAAATAAATTAGTATTTGTGTACAACGTTCTACTGCCAATACAGGTTATGTACCTCGTGAATTGATAGAAAAGGGTTTCAGACTTGGCAACAACTGCCTATGAAGTGATATGCAGAGAAATAAGACGCCGCCCTGAATCGTAACGTGAATATATGTTAACACGTGACGCACTTCATAGACGTTGAAACTCATGTTCTTGCATCCACATTCACGCTGTGAGCTTTCGACAAATCCAATCTCACGCCATACTCACCTTCAGTACACCGGGAACGTTTCTATGCACATTGCAGATACGGTGGGTGACCTCTAAGTAAGGCAGATCGCACTGCGGGAAGTTGACTGCATCGGTTGTGGTACCACTATTGGTATACCTCATCAACTTAGATGCAACCTCTACACCAATGGCGGCCTGGGCCTCCTCAGTCGATCCACCGATGTGTGGTGTTAGCAAAACGTTCTTGAGGCCGCGCAGAGGGGTCTCAAACCCATTGCCATTACCTAATTTAAAGAACGGGTAGTCGCAGTGTGTTAGAAGACATGTGCGTCAGTCAAGATCTTTCTGCATAATGGGGCGCATCTCCGAGCGTGTATATACAATGATGATACAGACATATATGGCCAGATTCTATCTTGTTTAAACCACCGATCTGCCACGCAAAGCTACGAACTGGTGCGAGTCTGAAATATTCTCAATCGCCACCATACGTGTATGAAAATCTCAAGCCATTCTCTCTAGTAAACATAGGCTCAAAATTCTTGAGCCATCTCTCTATATATATTGTTGTATGCAGCTACTTACCCTTTGGCTCCGTTGGAAAGACGTCGACATACGCGCCACTCAACGCTCCTGATTTTAGCGCCGCCGCTAGGTCCTCAATTACCACCACATTGCCTCGACTAGCGTTGAGTAGATATGACTTGGGCTTCATCCAGGCAATCTCTACTTTGGTGATCATGTATGCGGTTTCGCTGGTAGCGGGTACGTGAAGGGTGACGAAGTCTGCCTCTTCGAATAGCTCCTGAAGCGTGCCTATGGTGGTGATGGTGAGGCAGTGAAGTGATCGGAGGTAAGATGAAGGTGTCTGATTTCAACGATTAACAAAATGGTAAACTAAAATGATCCGAATGTGAGCATACACAGCCATGCAGGATATAAATTACAGGGTAACTTGTCAGAGCTGAATACAAATTATATGCCTGAGGGTGTAATACATACTATACGCAACAGCACGATTGCAAGTGCACTCAATCCGAATTCGATAGCGGTCGACACAGGGTTCGATCGGTATACAGACACATCTTTCAGCATATACATACATACAAACATACTTCAGAATATACACACATACAAAGTACAAGCGAATATTCCGACGTCGACCTACCTGACTGACTGGCGTTGCCCAGAGCGAGCTTGGGGACGATGTCGTAGAACTTCACACGCATGCCCATAGACTCGGCAAGCACAGACACCTGCGAACCGATGTGACCGTATCCCACAATGCCCAGCGTCTTGCCACGGATTTCGTAGCACTCGGCAGACACTTTATTCCAGTTACCCTCGTGTATCTCTCGGTTGCGGTCGCCGAGCTGGCGAGCGAGACTGACAATCTGTGAGATAATCAGCTCCGCTGTGGGATGGAAGTAACGATTCAAATTCAGGATAGTTAGTTAAAATATCAGAGTGATGATTGAAATATGAGATTTTGGAAGATACAGACGTATGCCGTGGTGCAATACATTTCTACTAGATATTGCCTTGTAGATAGGAGCAAGAGAAAGCATACACGCAAGGTGTGTCAAATGGCGAAATAACTATAAGCGCTGCAATACCGATAGGTATGCTGTGCTTGAGCGAAAAATAAATAACGGGATGTCAATTTGAAACGCACCAAAATGACCCAACCACACACACAATTGCACTTACCCACATACCGATAGGTATGCTGTGCTTGAGCGAAAAATAAATAACGGGATGTCAATTTGAAACGCACCAAAATGACCCAACCACACACACAATTGCACTTACCCACACTTCGGCTATTTGCGTAAGGGGAGTTGAATACGGGGATACCACGTGCGGCGGCAGCCTTCAAATCGACCTGGTTTGTACCTGCATGAGGAAGTGTTTCACGGGTGAGATTGAAATGACTTGATACAACCAGATATAACCCGGGATATACCTGGGCTGTAAGCTTGCTTTTGCGCCACGTGTACGTGATCGGTTTCGGTTACACATGTAACTTCAACTTTCTTGAATAGAACAAAACTACAAATTTTGCTCGTGAGAATCTGTCACGTACACAATGACTGCAAATACAATAATTAGATCTGGTGAACAAGTAGAAAAACAGATAAAAAGAGAACATCCATCGAATAGCCACCTACCGATACAGAAGCATCCAATGGCTATGAGCTTAGGAGCGGCATTGATAACCTCAGCTGTGAGTTTTGTCTTTGAGCGGATACCGATAACGTGCACATCCTTCAGCGCTTCTTTTAATTCATCGCCAACCATGGACTTGGCCGATGTTCGTACCTAACGTCCATATTTACCCCAAGGTATTGGTAAGTGAGAATTGAGGATGGATTCCGAATATTTACAGACGAAATATATTTAAGTTATACAATTGCAAAGAGAATTCGGAAAAACCTCACGAAAATCCTCGCGTGCTATTCTCGACTACAAATCGTGCATTAAAATAGTACACACACTGTAAATGATATTGCGTGCAAGTGTGATTATATATACATATATATATATATATATATATATATATATGAATACACAGTTTTGTCAGAATTGTAAACTACATAATAATGTGAGCATGTGGAGCAAAGGTTCAGAGTATATGTTTAGAAGACAAAATACAACTTCACACGTAAAGAGTTGATTGTGTACATAGAGATATTTGCATAAAATTATATAGATGTACATAGAAGTAATTGATCGTACAACCAAACACACACACACATATATATATATACGTGGGCGTATACTCATACTGTACATTCGCAACCAGATGCCGCTCATATACTATACAATCATATTAAATATTATTTTAAATATATATATATATTATAACATATATTTGAATAATTGTATATCAGGTGTGCTAATATGTATATATATATATATATATATATATATATATATATACACACACACACACGTA